AGGTCGCGACTTCACGTGCATGCATCGCACGGTCATCGACGACGACGCTGGCTCATTCAAGATTGGAACCATGAGCGTTCCCCTGCCGAGCCGGGAGCAGGTTCGCCCAAGACGTGCGCGAGTGCGATTACTGTCGAACGTCGTCATTCCAGCACGGTCAGAGAGCGTGGTAGCCGGTAAGCTGGAGAGAGTGGACGGCGTGCAGAGTGATGAAATGGGTGCAGCCGGGATATTCGAGCCATCAACCGTAGCGGAGCGGGAGGGACTCCTGACTCCAAGGGCTCTGGTCGTTGCAGACGACGACGGGTGCGTCTCGATCATTTTGACAAATGTTGGGTCTGAAGAAGTCCGTGTTCTCAGAGGCAGCGACCTAGGGACATTTTATGATGCCACAAACGAGAAGGACTGCGAGTACAAGTTGTGCCTGGCTGCAGACGGAGGCGTTGGGGACAGTGATGATGATGACGTTGATGATGTGAGCTGCAGAACAGAAAGGCGTCAGAATACGACGGTGACAGAAGTACTTGATGTGGACGGATCTGACTTCTCAGCGGAAGGAAAGGAGAAGCTCAGAACCATTCTCAGCGAATATGCAGACATCTTCAGTCAGTATGCGGGTGATATCGGCAAGACAGATTTGCTCGAACACCACATCGACACAGGGGAGGAGGCTCCCGTGAAGCAGAGACCACGGCGGGTACCAGTTAAACTCCGCGAGCAAGTCGAGATGCAGAAGACGCAGATGATGAAAGATGGAATAATTGAAGAGAGTACAAGTCCTTGGTGCTCCCCAGTCGTCCTGGCCAGAAAGAAAGATGGAAGTTTCCGCTTCTGCGTCGATCTCCGCGCGATCAACAGCCGAACTCGCGGATGTGCGCATCCTCTGCCGAGGGTCGACGAGGCGTTGGATACCCTAGCGGGGGCAACGTGGTACACGACGCTCGACATGGCGACCGGTTACTGGCAGGTCCCGCTGGCCACAGAGGACCGAGAAAAGACGGCGTTCTCCACGGGCAAAGGACTCCATCAGTTCAGGGTGATGGCCATGGGTCTCAAAAATGCTGGAGCCACATTCCAGCGACTCATGGAACTGGTGCTTGCAGGTCTGGACTCGAAACGCTGTTTAGTCTACCTTGATGACATCATCATATCAAGCAGATCCGAGGGCGAGCACATCGCAACGCTCCGTGATGTCTTCAAGCGAGTGAGGTCGGCGAAGCTGAAGCTCAAACCAGAAAAGTGCCGCCTCGCAAAGCGCGAAGTTACGTTCCTCGGTCACCGGGTCGCAAAGGAGGGACTCCTACCGGACCCACATAACATCCAGAAGATACTCGACTGGGCTCCACCGAAGACGGAAGATGGCATGAAGAGCTTCCTCGGATTGTGCGGATATTACAGCCGTTTTGTCCCACAATACATGGATCTCACGAAGCCGCTGAGGGAAGCCAAGGTGGTGGGTGACCACCTGACGTGGACGCCGGAAGCTGAAGCAGCTTTTGAGAGTCTGAAGCAGGCGCTGACTGCACCTCCAGTGTTAGCCCTCCCTACGTTCCGTGGTACATTCGTCTTGTACACGGATGCATCCGACTCTGCAGTCGGTTCAGTGCTTGCGGAGCGGGTGGGTGACACGGAGAGAGTCATCGCCTACGACAGTAAGGTGCTGACAAAGCAACAGCGCAGATGGCCAACATATGATAAAGAACTCTGGGCCATCGTTCACGCCATCCGGCGATTCAACCAGTACACAGTTGGAGCAGAATTCGAAGTCGTGACCGATCACAAACCACTCACGGGTGTACCGGAGTCCATCAATGTGGAACGGGACGGGACGGGAAGACGTGGCCGGTGGGCCATCGAGCTGAGCTCTTACCAGTTCCGGGTGGTTGTCCGGCCGGGCCGTGATCACGGCAATGCCGATGCGATGTCCCGGCAGCGACCAGTCGACGGCAATATCTGGACGGGCAAGTGCAGCAAGTCTTGTCCCGCCGAAGCCGGTCAAGCACCCGTGCATACCGCAGCTACAAGAGCCCAAGAACCTGCTTCTGGTGAAGAGGAGGAATGTGTGGGGAAGACTCGAGGCGCAGCAGAACTTGACCAAGTCTGCGCACTGCCTACTGCGCCACCTAGTGCGAAGGGTGACCAGGCGGGACGCCTAATCACTGAAGCACCAGGACAATCGGAGTTGCAGACGGCGCAACAAGAGGACGAGGTCCTCAGTGTCATGCGGAACGCCTGTCTGGGCAGTCGGGAACCACCGCCCGATCACCCTCTCGCCGAGTGGGAGCTACTGCGTGGGAGCTGGACGCAGCTCGAAGTGCGGGAGGGCGTTCTCGGCATGAGGACGAAGTGGGGCTTCCGGGCCCTGGTCCCCGATTCGATGCGATCAAGAATCATGACGCTCGCCCATGACCATCCGACGTCCGCACACTTGGGACGGAGTCGAACAACGGAAAGAGTGCGACAGCGCTTCCTCTGGCCCGGCATGTTCGCGGACATCCGTCGGTACTGCAGCACGTGTGACCGTTGCCAACGGCGCCATCGCCCTGCACCGAAGAAACGGGCTCCTCTGGTGACGGAGGTCACAAGTCAACCATTCCGCAGAATTGCGATTGACATCACTGAGATGCCGGTGTCGGAGAATGGCAACCGATATGCAGTAGTCATCATGGACTATTTTTCTAAATACGTCCGAGTGTACCCAGTCAGACGGCAGGATGCCGAAACCGTAACCACGGTGCTGTTGGATTGGGTTTACGACATGGGGGTGCCAGACAGGATTCACTCGGACCAAGGAGGCCAATTTGAGTCTGCATTGTTCCAGTGCATGTGCAAGCGACTGGGCATCCAGAAAACGCGTACAACGCCCTATCACCCTGAGAGTGATGGTATGGTAGAGCGTTTTATGAGAACACTCAAGGACATGGTCGCCAAATACGTTGACCCTCAAGGAGCGAACTGGGACGCTGACATCAAGGCGTACTGCATGGCCTACAACACCTCTGTGCACAGCGTCACCGGATATTCCCCGTTCTTTCTGCTGCACGGATTCCACCCGAAAACGCCACTCGATGCGGTCATCAACCCTCCGGATCGGGCGGTAAATATCCGGTGCTACCTTGAAGACCGTCTCAAGGCCATTTCAGAGGCTTATCAGACGACTATCAGGAAAACCCGGGCCAGTGCTACGGAGGCTGCGACCCGATTCAACCAGCGCGCGAGCGGAAAAGGGTTCGAGGCTGGTGACCGGGTATGGATTCGGGATAATAGGGTCTCGGTCGGCGGGAAGCCGAAGCTGGGACTGTACTACAAAGGCCCGGGCACCATCATCGGCCGCCTTGGAGGAGAGAGAGGAGTAACGTACCTCGTCCGTGACGACAAGGGCAAGGAAAAGGCTCTGCACTTCAACCAGCTAAAGCCAGCTGTGGAACGGGAGTCCCACAAACAGGAAACGTCTGGAAGCACCCGGAGGGACGACGCATCGGACACAGCCACAGAAACGCGTCCCAGGAAGCAGACGGGGTCCGAGGAGACTGGACCGGATCCACTGGCGTTGTACTACCTCTGCCGGCGGGCCCGAGATCAGGTGGGGAATGGGGGTACATCTGTGCGGGGCGCGTATGTGACCAGGTCTGGCAGAGTGTCGCTTCCCCCAGATCGTTTTCAATCCTAGGCCTCGGATGCTCTCGATGTGCATCACCAGTGTCTGAATCAGTTTGTATTTCCGGTCGCGTTCCGGTCGCGTAGTGTGTCGCGTTTCTTTGTTACTTGACCAAGTGGAAACGTTTCTTTTATGGGGGGAGGAGTGTTGGGATATTGTGACCGCGCACCGGCCGTGTGGGGCCGTGGAACAGGATGGGTCGGCGGCCCGGCCGTCCGGCCGGCGAGCCGCCTGACCGCCGCGCGGTCACCGCGCATGCGCTCTGTGCCGTGGTTATATAAGGGCGCGACCGTGACCGGACTGGGTCAGTCGGCGGGTCGCCGTGTCCGTGCTTGGTCGTCGGTCGCTGGAAGCACAATACACAGTGTCGTGGTATATGCAGCTTTACTTGGCCCTAACACTACTTCTTGGCTCCTCATTGGTCGAATTCAAGTGGTCTATTCGTTAGACCAATGAGAGGCCAAGACGCGCCAGCAATAACTTCCTTATATGGGGGGAAACCGACAGCACGCTGATATAAAAACATCGACCGAACAGGGCCCTGGTCAGCGAGCGGGCGTTTGAGGGCAGGCCGGCCACTTGTTTCACCAGGTCGTCTGCGCTCTCATTCCTCTCAATACCGTAGTGGGCAGGAACCCACTGCAGTGGGCATTAGTAGAGCAGACGTCACACAAAGGTTTTCCAACAAAGAATAGACGATTTAGGTTTGTAGGTTGTAGGTTTGTAGGTTGCAGGTTTGTAGGGTAGGTTGTAGGTTTGTAGGTTGTAGGTCAGGTTAGGTCAGGTCTGGTTAGGTTTCTTTGTTTTCATGGTTGGAAAACCTTCGTGTGACGTCTGCTCTACCAATACCCTGCAGTGTTGCTTAATGATGCTCGGTGATGTTCAACAAGGTCTTCCATACCCATCTCCACACCGAGGGTTGAGGCCTCACCTGGGCGGCCGCCGGCCACTCCTATTATGAGTACTCAGGGCGGCTCGCCAGTTCGAGCACGCGACAGCCGGGACGGGGATGGGGATGTCTCGTCCCAAAACCCCTCCAGAGCAGCCCGCAGGGCGAATCTGCTCCTAGATTGACCAGCATGCCAACTAAATTTAGTGACCGTCTTTCGTCAATAATTATGCAGCCCCATGCGTCAAAAAAAAATCTGCCACCGCCATGCGCCAAATTTGGCGCATGCGAAGTTACGCCGGACGTGCGCTGAATTTTTTGGCGCAATCCCGCCACTATGCCGGACATATTCGGAATGTTTATTTTTTCCAGTCTGGGCCAAGGCGATTAATAAGTACCTACCTACCGTGCAAACATTGCAATACTTATATTATTGTTGATTGAACTACCTACCTTGAAAGGCTGATAGGCTTGAGGACCACAACGTTAATGTTACCACGCAATTTTCTACGCACCTGCTAATGGTAAATTCCAAGATTCTTACAGATAGTAAATTCTACAGCACACCTCCACACACATCCACACTATCTTGTGTACTTGCAAGTTGCAATCGTTGCAATAAAGGGCGTGTGTATCAATTGTGTGAAAAGAATGCACCTATCAAGGCTAGCATAAATAACAATGTCATCAAATGAATATATGGTATGAAAATGACGTATCATTAAGAAAAAATCTAATTTTTGATGTCTTAACCAAGTGGGGTGGGACTAAATGCTGGGCCTTGGTAACAACTGGATTTCCATTACGTCATGGGTGATGATGTCACACCACGGGTGACGTTTCACTGCTGCTGCTGCTGTCCACGGACGGCAGCGTTTGTGAGTGGAAAACAGTAGCAACATTGTAAATGAAGGCAGTATTGGCGCTTATGCTGCATATGAAATTTATAACAACATGTTGATATCAATATTAGTGAATGTTTATTTTTGTTACTTTTCATAAACCCTCCATTTCAGGGTCTGCATGCAAAATTTCTGTTATTTTAGGGTCAAGCTATTGTACTAAGGGATTTATTTTGGCAATTAAGTCATTTGTTAGGTTGTAAGGCTTCATAAACTTTTAGTTGAGGTTGGTATCCACTATCCAGTTGCAGCTATAATTGTGTCATATTTTGTATCATTTTCTGAACATGTAAACACCTACCTATATGAATTCAAATATTGTGATTGTAGAAAAGCAGTTACCCTCACATTGCAGCGGGGATTAGAACAATTAACCACACTTGTTATACAAAAAGCCTGTTTGCCATCAATTTTGGGAATTCAAATTGGGTATTGGTAAGGTAGATGTAGCACAAGCTGCCCGATGCACGAGAATGGGTCTTTCTAACCAAACCTTACCTAACCTGACCTACAACCTACAGCCTTAAACCTAAAATTTACAACCTACGACCTAGTCCTACGGTATGGCATATCACAACAGCTTGTGCTACGTCTGCTACCATGACCCAACTTTGTGCCAATTCATACCAACTTGGGATGACAGTCACTGCAGATGTGTGCTGACCATGCAGGTCTTTGTTACAATTGCAATTCTATTGTGTTACAGGTTCAGCATTCTACAGCTGCGACCCGCCATGGCTGGGCCACCGCGGCGGCATCACCTTCAGGGTGGACCTGCCCATGGCCACCCGCCGGTCGGACCCGCCTGCAGTCTGCAGGGAAGCTGCCCTGCGAGCCATTGCAGAGCTCCCGCACCCGGACGTCACTATCTGGTCGGACGGCTCGGCTCGCGGCGGACGGAACAGGGCGGCGCAGGCGCTGATCCAGTTCCACCACCTCAACAGAGAAGAGACCGTGCGCGCTCCTGCAGGGGCGGTCTGCTCCAGCCTAAGAGCAGAACTGACCGCCATGCGCGAGGCGTTCGCGGCTGTGGCCGGCCTGGAGGACGGGGAGTTGGCATCGACCAAGTCGGTCCGCCTCCTCACCTCACCGACTCAAGGTCTGGGCTCCAACTACTCGGCCGCGGCCCAGCTAACTAGACCATGGCCCTGGCCGCCGAGGTGTGGAGGCTGCTGAGTGCTGAGCACCCTCGCCGAGAACGGCACCGAGACGGTGCTCCAGTGGGTGCCAGGCTATGCCGGGCTGGACGGCAACGAAACCGCCGACCGCCTGGCTGGCGAGGCCACGGCGGGCGACCAAGACAGCGCACCGATCGACCTGTCGAGTGCGCGGGCCGCCGTCATGCGCCATGTCCGGGAGCTGTCGCGACAGAGGGCAACCGCTGCCCACCCGCACCCGGACCCCACGCCTGGTCACGACTCCCTGGCGCGCTGGGGGTCGGTGACGCTGTCCCAGCTGAGGACCGGCACATCACCGCTGACCCGTGATACGCTCCACAAGATTGGCCCGGAAGTCGACGACGAATGCCCCGCGTGCGGGGAGCCCGACAGCGCGGCGCACCTACTGACCGATTGTCCGGCCTATGAGGCGGCCCGCCGCCGCCGCTGGGGTGTCGACCCTCGCCTGGTCGACGTCCTCGGCGGCCCGGCGACGAAGGTCGTCACCTTCATCGAGGATGTTGGGCGGACCGAGCCGCCGCTCGACCCGCCTGCGCCGCCGCCCCCCTGAGCGGGTTGGCGGTGGGATGCAGAAGAAGAAGAAGAAGAAGCAACTGCCAGCGCGCCACGGCGGCGAAGCCGAGTTCCGCCGCTGGACACCCGCGCAATGGCCAGCACAGACAAGAGACAACCGAATCACAACACCTACAATTACGTTATTGTTATGGTATTGACATTGTTACAATTAACCCTGCTCTTTCGAGCGTGGATGCACGCTGAAATTGTCGCATAATTCCATGCAGCTTCCACCCTTCTGCAATACAAAGTTTGAATACAAAGTAGTCTTGCAATAGGTTTAGAACTTATGTGCAGATTGTCGATGCTGGTTGACTTGATGATTGGAATTGTGTTTACCTGTTTCATCTGTTTTGACTTAAATATATGGCCATGGACTATGGCCTACCTTGGGAAGTGTCTCTGATTTCAACAAAACATTTTTCATCAGGATACGCTGCAGGGTACATAGTACATACGTAGTGAAAATTTTGAGCATGTATGGGTGCGCATGTGGAGATGTAGACTGCGAATGAGACGGACTACGACGGTTTTTGAACCAATTAAATCTGATTGACAACATAATGTAGGACTAAAAACTGACTGTCAGAAGAATATTCACAGAATATTCACTTCACCCGGTACAACGAAAAGGGAAAGTCAGGGAACAGAGGCAGGTTACATCTCGAAGATCAATCAAATTGCAGGTGCCGATTGGTTATGGATCATCGCAGCTCAAGGTACTGCCTTGTGCTGCTTTATTGTTAACTGAAATTGCTTCCACCTTGTATTGAAAGAAGTCATTATGGAAGATTTTAAAAAGGTTCTTGAAAAAATTTAAAAACTTTGAATTTATATTTCTGCAGAATTATACACCCGTATCATTCTTTACATGTCAATATTAGTATATTATCTAGCATATAAGAAAATAGTGGCCTCAAGTTTCTAGAAAATATCTGATTTTGCTCTCTGGGCCAATGCAGATCCCTAAAAAGTTAGGAGCCGTCTTCATTATTTAATGTATAAAACCAAATAAATTATCACTGCTCAAAATAGGAAGAAATGACAAATGAAAAAAATGTTTTCCTACAGCGCTGCAATCCAGATTTCAAGATAGTGATGGGCACACTAGAAAGCAAGTAAAAGTACTCCACAAGGTAAAAGTAAGAAAGAAGAATATCCTTATACTGTTTCAGAATTGGGTTACAAATATTTTTTATGTGTTTTAAATACCCAAAGCAATCGATTCCACAATCAGTCTTGATGATATTATATGGTTTTTGTATGGTGTTGGTGGTACTTGAATGACCAACGTCAGTACATGTCCATCACCTTTCGATATTTCCGTGGTGCTCGCTCCCATTTCATAGCTGCTCACGGTGTTTTCTGCTGACGTCATATGGTGCTGCTCCACTAGCGCCACCATACGGCGTCAGCTGGCGAATTATCCAGTTAATACCAGAGCCCTAAATGCTTACTTCGAAATCTAAGCTACGTTGCGGCATTGGCGGTTATGTGCGGCGTGTATGCCGCATGATTAGTAAGCGGCGACCACTAAATTAAAGACTCAAACGCTCCGACCGGTTCTCAATGAATAACACTGCATACCAAAAATGCCAACCGCTCTCGTCATAAGATATTCAGCTTTAAATAACTAGGTTATCTACATCATCATTTTGAACCAAATTCATACTTTCAACTTAACTCACTCATTCCTTCCTTTGTTGTCTCCAAACAGTCTTTCGATTGTCTGGAAATCGTATGCTAAATCCCGTACCTGTATGCGACTGGTGCATATAAAGGCCGATAAAAGAATTTGAATAGGCTCTGGCATGCGATTTCCTGGCTACCCAAAAAAGTCTGTTTCAGTCTTGCTATCAAAACATGACCTCGCCCGCACAGGGGCACCTTAGGGGGTTGATGCAACCCCCTAAGGTTTTTCGCGAATAACTCGCTTAAAAAGCGGCTGATCGCGACGAAACTTTCAGTACCCTCGCATTGATCAATTTAACACCCATCCTGAAAATTTCATGACCCTGACCCAAATGACCTTTGACCTGTGACCTACTTTTCGAGACCATGTTTGGCCGGAACCGCGATTCAGCGTATGTCGGCTCGCATTAGCAGCGCGTTTGCAGTCTTTTCGTGGTTTCAAGCGTTCAAACATGTGATATGATGTTGCCCCCATGCATTAGGGTGGGTGTCAAGGTCACCTGAAGGTCAGGTCAGGTCATTGACCTTTGGTGACCTCGGTTCACTTTTTCGAGTTTGACATGTTTCTAGGTCAGTTTTTTCGAGCTGGATTCGAATTAAGCAACCACATGAACGTTTACAAAGTAGTTTTGGTGCCTTCGTAACATGTTACGAGGCTGTCAGAGGCGGTTGACACCTACTACAAATACCTGGCAGGACCTCTACTGGTTGACCTGACCTGACCTAACCCGACCTGGCCTAAATGAATTAAGACATCATCTGTGATCAAAACTAGCATGATATTCGTGATCAGCACCCCGAAAAACCCCATAGCAGCCACACTACGGCGTTCTAACAGGTCCCAATTTTCCCGCCTTTTGGGTCATTGACCTGACCTGGAAGGTCAACCGATGACCTAGGACCTTAAAATTGGGTATCATCGGCTTTCTCTCGTCACGGGCAACACGCTCGTTTTTTCCGCGAAGCTCTAGCTTGATCAGGAGCGAAACGGCAAGGGGTTATACCTTATACGTTCGCGGCTGAGTATTAATTTGGTTCAAAACAATGATGTAGACAAGTTAGTTATTTAAATCTAAATATCCTATGACGAGAGCGATGGACATTTTTGGTATGCAGTGTTATCCATTGAAAACAGGTCAAAGCTATTGAATTTTTAATTTAGTGGTCGCCGCTTACTAATCATGCGGCATACACGCCGCACATAACCGCCAATGCCGCAACGCAGCTTAGATTTCGAAGTAAGCATTTAGTCTCACCCACCAAGTGAAGTTTATGTTTGTCATATTTTATTTATTTAAAAATATTGTCCTACATGATTGGAGAAAATTTGCATTTAATGTGAAAAACAAATCTATGAAATTGTACAAAACGCAAAATAAATCGAGACTTATTCGCGCGGCATGCTTCGGAAAGGTTGAAAACCTCGCTCTTCTTTTAATGACAAATATTTGAGTGACGTCATGAAACTAGTACGAAATATCTTTTTTTTGTAAATGATTGTATTCTTCGTTATAATTGTAAGTAAGACCGATGAAAACATCTATTTGCTTGTAAATTTGATGGCTTTAAAAAAAATACAACAAATACTGCAAGTATTTACATCCCGCCGATCGCTCATTTGTCTGCAAACAATGACGTCACAATTACTTTGGACGACTCTTTTTGGTAGACGATTCTTGCGCGCTTTCAAGTCATGTGCAAAAGGTGACTGCGGCGCGCAACATTAACGCGTGGAACGCGTGTAGCGCGGATTTTCGCATTTCATTTCCCGTGAAGTTCTGCTGAAGTCTGATACAACATAATAAAGGATTAGGGAGGTAAGATTTAAACTTTTAAAGCCCATGTGAAATACTTACTTACCAGTAAAACGCCTTTTGGGCGAAGAACGAGCGAGCGAGATAGTGAGCCCTGGGCCCCTGCAGGCCCTGCACAAGGGCGAGAGGGTACTTCCAACGGGCTTGTGCAAAGCACCCTTCTAGCCGGTCGCTAGCGGTGTGCCAAATTTGAACGCAATCGGCGCAGCCATTCCTGAGATCTGGAATTGGCATTCTGCACGTGCGCACGTTCAAACGGGGTCCAAACTGACTTTTGCATGGCACCCTACTAACCGCCAACCGCCCAACCGGTCCCCAACCGTGTGCCAAATTTGAGCGCAATCGGCCCAGCCGTTCTCGAGATCTGGGAGCGCCCCTGCACGTGCGCACGTGCAGTGGCACCCTAACCGCAAACATGGGAATGCCTGGTGGGTGCCTACCTGTATGCCAAGTTTCAGCGAAATCGCCCTAGTTAGTAATTACCGAGTTATTGAAATGGGAACAAATTTGGCACCTCTTCTTTTTGCCTTTTGCACGTGCAGTGGGGGTCAGTCACATAGATCAAGAGTATCCGACCTTTGGTAGAAGGGATGCAGCTACCCTACAAAAATTACCGCAAGACAATCGTCCAAGCAGATGCTGAGATATGAGCCTCTCAAATTCACTACCTTTGCAAAACAGCTTGAACACCCCTGACTATTCACGTGGCACGTGCCATGATGGTCACTGAGATGTATCAAAAGCAGGGATGCGGAGCCGGAGTCGGAGCCGGAGCCGGCATATTTTGCCCGGAGCCGGAGCCGGAGCCGTGAAACAATATAGCCCGGAGCCGGAGCCGCCAAAAAAGGGGGCAACTCCGGCTCCTTTTTATTTTTTGAAGAGGAAAAAAATACCATTGTTTGGCCTAACTTTGTACCAGTTTTTGACTTTTCTTCGTATTACTTCCAAATTATTTTGTTAAATGTTCAGGAAATTGTGCAGTAAGGCAGTGACATCCCTGCTGGTGACCTATAGTCACTCTTAATTTTTTTGGATAATGACATATAATTTATTTTTTTGAAATAAGAGTGGCACAATGTTACCCGCACAAAAATAACTTTGTACCATATGAATAAATGCATCAATAAAACAATGGAAAAGCCAAAAGTATCAATGTTAGCGGTCGTTATGGATACATTGGTCCACTTAGGGGCTTTTAAAAAAGGAACAGCAAACTTGTACATTGTAAAAACATAGTCACGGGATGGTGCACACCATCATGACTGTAGGTCGCTTACGTATCCCGCTGGGACATTTACGCACAACCAACGACGCGACGAACCACATACAATAAAAGGCACGGAACACAACGAACGACACGACGACCCTCTTCATCATATGGTGTCGGAACTTTAAATCACCCCTGGATTTACCCTTCCTGCGGGTGGCCCAAAGTTATTGAATTAACGGCAAAAAATATGTATAAACATTGACCACCCCCAAATTTTAAAAAAATGTTTGAGGAAAATAAATTACCAATAGTCGAATGCAAAGTTCACATGATGTCCTATTCAGGCAAATTGCAAAAATCGATTCGGCTGGTAGCATCTGAGCCCTGTACAGGGACCTACCTAAACCTTAATATTGGGTGAAAAAAAGAAGCTTCACCAAAAAAATCTAGAAAATCCAAAATCGACATGATGACGTATTTTTTGTGTCCCTGGGTTTATCATTGACTACTTCATTGGTTCCGGCCCAAAAATGCCATTTCTCGCGCATAGGTATTAAGCTGATTAAAATTTAGACATTTTTTTCCTCGTGGAACAAAGTTACCCACACGGCCCAAAGTTAGACCAAACAACGGTAATTGACCTAGTTCGGTTTGACAGTACAAGGCAGTAAAACATATGGTACTTACGTCATGGGCCATCAAGTGAATGAAAAAAATCCGAATATCCCCAGTATCCCACAGTACGCAAACAACTTCCTGTTTGCTCTTCCCCCCCCCCCCCCCCACGTCTACTGCATCCCCAGAACATGAGGACCAGTCTTTAGGTGACGGCCATTGTTTTCAAACCAGTGCAGTGGACTGCGACTCCCAGCACCGTCTCATCCCACCCACCCCCCCCCCCCCCCACCCCTCACCCCCCAATGCAGCCGAGACGGGTGTCAGCTTACGATGGTTCACTGAACTCCGATTCGCGGCGACTGCGTTTCCAATGCCATCGCTTCCTAGCCCTTTGTTCTGCCAGTTCTCTCCGAGGTGCGTTTGCGCGGGGACGCGGTGAGCCGGTCATGGCAAAGAGTAACGCGTATAACCAATCCAATTTTTCTTCCACCCGTATTTAATTGATTGCGTAGGGGATATACTGAGTCGGAGCCGGAGCCGCCGGAGCCGGACCATTTTACTCGGAGCCGGAGCCGGAGCCGCCATAACATTTTACCCGGAGCCGGAGCCGGAGCCGATTTTTTTCTCCGGAGCCGGGGCCGGAGCCGGAGCCGTCTGAAATTTCCACGGCTCCGCATCCCTGATCAAAAGTAGTCAATTACGGGGTAGAAGGGATAAGGCTACCCAGCAAAAAAGACCGCTGGCCAATCGGTCCAGCGGTTGCTGAGATATAAGCCTCTCCAAATTGTTACAGGCCGGGCTGGGCTGCTCATACTCACGGTTCGTCGGAAGGTCATCTCAGGCTCAAAAGAAACGGTATATACCATTCGAAAGCTGACGGTGAGCTGAATCCAAAAATGTAATTTTTATCAATATCGATCGATGGCCTTTTTTGAAAATTGCGTTTTTGTAAAAACTTTATAATTTTTAATCAACGGGCTGTCCCGGACGCGTATTCGCCAAGTGTATTACACGAATCGGCCGACCAATAGCGTGCCTCTTGAGTGACGTCATACGTTCGGTCCTCGCCCTTGGTGGCGTCTTTTGAAACTAGGTTTTAGTTTGACGACATTTAAGCAGCTCTGCATATGTTGTCGCCGTGGCGAAGTGGTTAAAGTATCGGACTGGTGATACAGAGGGAAGTGGTTCGAGTCCACTCGGCGACCTCAATTTTCGTGTCATCTGTCATTGTGCGTTTTTTGGATACATTTGCAACGGCGTGCACCTAAGAAATCAGAGGTAGGCATTCTTCTTATGAATATGTTGCATAAGAGAAATATTTGCAGTCCAACCGATTGGTTCGGTTTCGGTATTTTCCAATGGTTTTTGTTTGTATTTGGTTTGGTATCGGTGTTCTGATTTTCTGTGATCGACATCACTAATGCATAGTGCATACTATGCGAACGTAGCCAATGGAAAGACAAATGGTGCTGGGCGATGGCCATTGATCAATACCTATTTCTCACTGCCAATGGGTGACAGCACGCAGCTCCTGCTGGATATGACAGGGGCGGCGCTGATCTTTTGACATCAGGTGGGCACTTGGTAAGGTAAAGTACCTAAAAGTAGCGAAAACTAAGATGAAAAGTAAAAATCGCACGCTGGTTAGCAGGCTATTAGATAGTTTTTCGTGCAAGAATCACCATGCACAAAAAAGTTCGGCATAGCTGTTAGCGTAATCACGGACGAGATTGTCAATTTCCAGCCGTCAGAGCGTCATCTATAGAAGCTATGCCCTAACTATAACTTTTACATTTCAGCCGCCAGGGGGATACCTAAACCCCCTTACTTGGAATCTAGTTAAAGTCAAAAAGATTTATATTAGACGTTTATGAAGATTACTTGAGACTGATTGTTAAGTTGCTTGCTCACGGCGGGCTGTCATCAATTTATCTCTATGCATGTCTTATCTGATCGATGAAATAATACCGGAATCCGTTGTCATTCGAGTGTGTTTCATAATAGCTCTTCCGACTTTGACGAATATCGACAGTGCCGTAGCAAAATTGGTAGTTCAGGTATAGACTGCAACTGCAGTTCTTTTGCAACTTATTCCTTAATCAGATGAATACTTGTCATAGATTTATTGGGCGTACGATATTGGCGTTCGAACGTAGGGGCCAAAAATGCGTGTCTACGACCGACTTCTCAGAAAAGAACCGCTAAAGCAGGAATCGATCCACAGACTTCCAGCTCATCACACCGAGACTCTAACCACTCGGCTACGACGACACACAGCACCTTCGTTAGCCATATACAAATGAAAAAAGTCTCAACTCAAATCTAGCCTCAATGCATGCATTGTCGCGTCGGATGGCTATGACGTCGCACTAGAGATGTCGCTAGTTGGTGGGCCGATTCGTGTAATACATTTGGCGAATACGCGTCCCGGACATTCTTAAAAAAATAAACATGTTTTTTCGAGTTCCAGTGAAAGCTGAGTGCCAAAAGAACAATATTTAGAGAAGCAATATTTCAAAAAATCAATATGCGTCTCCCACAGTCGACAATAAGGCGCAATAACACAGCTGAGTGTCACGATGGACCAAAGTCAGCCACACAGAAGCGTGAAATGACCCTTATCGACTCACAGACCCGGCGCTCTCGGCCCGCCTGACCGGCCACGGAAAGAACGTTCGGCTCTCGTTCTACTAAACAAATGTCATATTTGTCGGTTTAACTGTCCACATCGCTATTAAAGTTATTCAGGATACCTGTGAAGAAAATTCATTGTTCTGCTTGATTTACAACATGCTTTAATTTACATTTTTCTTATGCATGTTTTGTTCCATCCAGCTGCGCTCAGTCCCCGCGCAGGGGAAGTGAGCGGGGTTTCACTGTCAGAGGCTGTACTGGTGACAGCTGCTCGGCCGTGCGACCGGTCAAAGGTTACCCTGTCCCACCGGGCGCTACCCCCACTGCACCCGAGCTGAGGCCGGTACAACCTCAGACATTTCAGCGCGGCCAATTTTCCTTATATGGGCATGATACCAAGCTCAATTGAGCAAAGTAGAAATGAACAAATGTAAATTAATGCATGATGTGAAGATGACAGAGCAATGAATTTTTTTTTTTCACAGGTATCCTGAATAGCTTTAATAGCGATGTGGACAGTTAAAGTGACAAATATGACATT